AAATTTATAGAGCAAGTTGATTTTCCATTAAAAAATTCATGCAGATTTTGATAAGAACCTGACTTATGCAGTCGGTGGGGGCGGAGACTTCCATTTTTTCAAAATGGAAGCAAGATGGAAGCGAGCCGACCACTCCCACAGCAGAAGGACTGCTTGGCAGGGAACCCCCATCGCCCGCAGAAGAGAAGATTTTACCAGAGTTCTCTCTGTTCTCAGCCCACCATCCGTTATGCTGAGTAGCTTCCTGTCTTTCTGTCCCCACCTTGCCTCTTTTCTTTTTAAGAGCAGTTTTAGGTAGACAGAATAATGACATGGAAATTACAGCATTCTCATATACTCCTTGGCCCCAGGCACGCTGTTTTCCCTGTCATTACCTGATGCTGTCAAGTTGATGTTAACTCAAGATGTCTCCATCTGTGTGTGTCAAAGTACAACAGTTCTCCGTGGCATTTTCAAGGGCTGATGGTCTTTGGAAGTAGAGTATCGGGTCTTCTACCGTGTCTCTGGGTGGACTCTAATGTCCTGTCTTTCATTTAGCGGCAGAGTTCAGTGCATTAACTGTTTACGTCACTGGGTCATTAATAGCCTACTTTCTCCTAGCACCTTTTTTTTTTTTACATGCACCAATCTTTATTTTATTTTATTGTTTTATTGTGAATTATGTGATAGTTACATGGGAGAACATTAGTTTTACATTCATCCTATCGTACATCATTTCATTGTCATGGTTACAGTCTCCTCCATGAATCATCAACCAACCAAAGAGTATACACTACAAGCCCCTCTCCCTCTCTGTGTCTAAAGTCCCCAGCCACTCCGTCTCCCCACGTCATCGTCTCTGGTGTCACTGCTTCTCTGGGTAGGCTCCCACTCTCTGCTCTCCGCTCTTCTCCCTTGATGGTCCCAGGGACCTCCACTCCTAGACTAAAAAATTAATCACTCCCCTCCTTGCTACAAAACGTCTACCTTTACATTTCCAACGCTCACAATCAGTCCTGATAAGTTATTCACTATTGTATCACAGGAGACCTATCCACATCTACTTTCATCAGCCCCACCCAGACAGATGGGATACTACTCAGTGGAGATCGATGCACCAATCTTGATACATTCTTTTTATTCTTATTGAAGGAGCTCTGGTGGCTCAGTGGGTTAAATGTTAGGCTGCTAACTCCAAGGTCGGTGGTTCAAACCCACCAGGTGCTCCTATAAAAATGTATACTCTTGGGAGATATAAGGAGCATCTCTGCTGTACAATTGCTATGAGTTGGAATCAACTGGATGCCCATGGCTTTCATTATTAATTAAATAAGGTCCGTAAGTTTCTCTGCCCTAAATAAACACTGTGTTCCACCAGCTTGGCTGTTAATTTTTCCCTGTTGAAATGTAAATGAATGAGCCCATCTCCTTGCTTGCCTATTCTGGGAGGACTGTGGACATTGTCTGATAGTAACCATTTCTTGTCTGTGCAGTTCCTGACCAGGTTGACCGAGAGGTTCGTCTTGGGTGTGGACATGCTCATGGAAGTGCTGTGGAAAATATGGACAGAGGTTTTGGATGTGCTTGGACTTGACGGTAAGTGTGTGGGGCATTTGTTGAAGACACTGGTTCTACATTGGCCAGCACGCTTAGTGCGGGGTGCCTCAAGAGATTCAGTGGGATGGTGAGTATCCAAGTGAGCATTTTTTTGTCATTTTGCATATGTAAATGGTATATGAAAGCTGAGATTACTCAGAATAAATAGAGCCATGGTGACACCGTGGTTAAATACGTGGAGGTTAGCAACATGTATGAAGTATTGCTACCAGGGAGGCCCATGGGCAAGACTCGGCAGTCAGGATTTCATTGGGGCTGGTCAGGTAGGCCCCCTGTGCCTGGCATGTAACAAAATTCCAGACTCCCAAAATGAGAGCAGGTGTCCAGCATCAACCACGCTGTTTGCATAAACGATCTAGACACAGGGAGCCACTCTTCTCTGAAACCCACATTTCCAGCTCCCAACCCAGGGCCCTGCCTTACAAGCAGACCTTTGTCAGAATGGACGTTTCTTACATGCTATGCTTTTTCCTGCAGAGCCACTGAGTGGGTTCCCGCTCTTGCTTTCAATGATCCCTTCTCAGCACAGCAGCAGGAGTGATTTCTTAAAAGCCTTACAGGTCATGTGATTCTCCTGCTTGAGTGATTTCTTGTTGTCCTGGGAATAAACTCAGGGTTCACACTGTTGACCACAAAGGTCTAAAGATCTTTCCCCAGCATCTTTCCTCAATTAGGCCCCCCACTCTATCTACCCCACCTCTCGCCAGTACCCCGGGCTCCCTTCTGTTCCTGTTCGTTCAAGGCACCTTGGTGGCACAGTGGCTAAAGCGCTGAGCTGCTAACTAAAACATCAGTGGTTCGAAACCACCAGCCAGCCGTTCCATAAATTATAGCTTTGGAACTCTACAGAACGGTTCTGCTCTGCTTGGATCACTGTGGGTTTAAATGGATCAATGATAGTTGGTTTAAAATTTTTTTTTTTTTAAACTTCATGCCAGGGTAGCCCTGTTTGCCCACTCATTAATTGCTTGGCTGCATATTGAAGGGTTGGAGATATGACCCTACTTTCTCGGGACTTGTGTGTGGCATTCGGCTTCCATAGAGATTCCAGCATGGGAAAACCCCATGATGCACTTCTGGTCTGTCTTACGGGTCATTCCAAGTCCTGTATCTGTGCCTGTGTCCACGTGTCCTTCTTGTAAGGACACTAGACATTGGTTGAAGGCCCATTCGACTGCAACATGACCTTGTCTTGACTGGATGACATCTTCAGAGATCCTCTTTCTGAATGAGGCCACTTTCACAGGTGCCAGGACTTTGAACTTCACCATGTATCTCTGGGACCCACAGCAATGACTGAGCTTCTCCTGATGTCTCTCTGTAAAGGGACCTTGCTGTTCACCCTCGCCACCCCCTTGTTCTTTCCATTTGTGCTACTTATCCTTAGCTGTGACATTCTGTTTGTGTCCTTTGCCTGTTCATTGCCTGCTGCCCCTCTGGCCAATCTGCTCCACTCCTGTCTTCTCCAGGCTGCGTCCAGACCCAGTACCAGAGGCCCTGTGCAAATAGGAAGGACAACTGCACTTACCTGTGTTGGGGATTAAAACTGTGCTTAACCAGATACGTTCAAGTGCTGATTGTGTGGAGGTGGGGCCTTCTCAGGTATGATCCAGTCAAGACACAATCACGTTGGGGCCCAGGCAGATCTCGGTGCTCAACTACCACAGGCATGCAAATACCTCCGTAAAGCGACTCAGACGAGTTTTATTGACATCATACTGTAGTCTATAAAGTGTGTATGAGGAAAATGAAATGTTATCAGGATGGCCAAAATGGAACACAGAGTCACAAAGCCAGCACACGCTGTTGGAAAAACGTCGACACCACACACCTTCACATTGTTTTAAAAAAATGCGCAGTATCTGGGAAGAGCATTCCAGTGGCCTGGGGTAAAACAAGGTGTGCCTGTCATTGTGGGCAAGTTGGCACCATCTTGGTGACGCTGTAGGACAGAATTGAATGGCCCCTGGGGCTCCCGAGTCTCTCATCGTTATAGGAGCAGACTGCCAGAGCTTCACTCCACAGACAGGCTGGGTGGGATCAAACCACAAAGCTTTTAGCTAGCAGCTGAGCGCTTAATCATTCGTTGCACCCGGATTAGCATGGACCCTAAATCCAATGACTGGTGGAAAGTTGGATATAGACACGAAGGGACACCGAGGACCAGGCCATGTGACGACGGAGGCAGAGCAGACTGGTGTGACCACAAGTCAGGGGGACCTGGAGCCACCTGACGCTGGGAGTGGCAGGAAGAGATTCCCCCAGAGCCTTCCGACACCTGGATCTTGGGCTCTGGCGTCTGGAACTGGGCGAGGATCATTTCTGTGGTTTGAAGCTAACTATTAGAGGGGATTTGCCCTGAGATGTGCCCAGTGTCACTTGCTGGCAATCCTTCTGTCAGTCCCGTGACCCCACTTCACGAACTCACCAATCTGTAAAGGATTAGTCGCTTGCCTCACACCACACGGGCAGGGTGAGCACAGATGGAGGCCCTCTGTCTGCCAGTTTGTCGCTTGTAACCTGTTTCCCGCCTGGCATGCAAGTTCAGCCTTGGAGAGACTGTAGACCGCCTCTCGGGGTGACTTGCTGTGCAGCCTGTTGTCTCCGAGGGCCCCAAAAGCCCCCTGGGGCTGGCTGAGTCAATGCAGAGCCCAAACACAGCAACGCCATGCAATCCACTCAGAATCTTTATCGCCTCCTGCTGGCATGGCAGTCCTGGTGTTTCCATTCCCGTCCTACAAGCTTCAAGGAATCACAATTGGTGGCAAGAAACTGCCCGCAGCTGGAGTGAAATGCCGCCATGTGGATCATCTAGACAAGATTGAGGACAGAGCTGTGGCTCAGCTCACCTTGACCATAGGAACAGCTGGCCTCTCTGGAGGTAGAAAGAACTCACATCTGGGCTGTGGTATTTCCCGTTACACTAGATGCCACGTGCCTCAACGTTAACTGATGGTCTTTGACATTTGCTTCTTGAGCTTTGAAGTTTGGGGGTGCAAAATACTTTCCAGGAAACTGTATGCCAAAGTCAGATACTCTGTGAGCATGAAACTCAAATTTCCGTCTTTGGAACTTTTCAGGGGGTTGGTTACAGTGGAGCCTTCTCTGCCCAGTACAGTCCAATAATGCAAGTCACATAGGGAATTGAAAACTTTCTGAGTATTCATCTGTCAGCGTTGGACTGTGGTGGCTTGTGTGTCACTGGGATGCTGGAAGGGATGACACAGGCATTTCAACTCCCAACAGGGTCACTCATGGTGGACTGTTTCATTGGAGTTTCCAGGCTAACACAGACTGGAGAGAAAAACTTGGCAAGCCACATTTCCAAAACTTGCTGGCGGAAACATTATGGATCATAACAGAATGCTGTCTGACTCGCTTGTTCTGGACATGCCGTCGAGAGGGATTCCATTCCTGGGGGAGGACACAGTGTTTGAAGTAGGGACATGTTAGTGGACATGCTCCAACCTCCTGGAGACTCTGAGGCTGACACAGGACAGGCAGTGTTCTCTCTCTCTCTCTCTAGTGGGCATATCAAACAACAAAAGTAAAATACAATAAGTCAAATGAATTTTGATAAGGTATTTGAATGAGCCCAATATATTACTCAAGGAGCTCTGGTAGCGCAGTGGTTACGAGTTGGGCCACTAACCTCAAGGGCGGCAGTTTGAAATTACCAGCTGTTCGCACAAGAAAGATGAGGCTTTCTGCTCCCATAAAGATTTACAGCCTCGGAAACCCTGTGCAGATTCATTGTGAGTTAGAACTGACTCCACCGATACTTAACAACAACAATTTATTACTCAAAATATTGTTATCATGTAATCTATATAAAATCTTATTCACATGATACCTTAACCTGTTTTGCTGCTAAATTGTTAAAATCCAGTTTTATGGATTGAACTGCGTCTCAAAAAATAAGTGTCGTAAATGCTAACTTCTTGTGTTGTGGCATGGTGGTGGGTTAATGCACTGGACTGCACGGTCGGTTGATCCGCAGGATTGACTTGAACTGCAAGGTCGGTGATTCAAGCTCATAGGTCGCTCCTTGGAAACCCTATAAAGGAAACTGACTCGATGGAACCTAACAGCAAAGTTTGTGGTTACATACATGTTCATTTGGCTGTGGATCCTCTTTGTTCTGTTGATGAGCCAGGATTCTTGAGGGGTGTTTTTTGACTCTCTGGAAAATGTAAAGAGCAACTTCTGGTGTAGCACTATAGGTTAAGCACTGGACTGTGAATCACAAGGTCAGCAGTTCAAACCCACCAGCTGCTCCTCTGGAACCCTATACAGCATCCCTATGAGTCAGAACCGACTGGATGGCACTTAACAACAACAACAAAATCTAAACCGCAGAGTAGGACACAGAAGCAAGCAGAGATAGAGGAAGAGAGATACCAAGCCACTTGGAGATTGCCAAGGAAGCGTCAGAGTCAAGCACCTCCCCCCAGAGTTAGCACCCTGAATTCAGACTTCTAGTCCCCAAAAACAGGAGTTCTGGTGTGGCATTGTAGGATAAGCACCGGACCACAAGGTCATGTTGAATCAAAACGTCAGTGGTTCAAATTCACCAGCCACTCCTCAGAAACCCTACGCAGGGTCCATGTGAGTTAGAACCAACTCAATGGTACTTGACAACAACTGCCCCATAAACTGGGAAAAAAGAAATTTCTGTTTGTCACAGCACTGGAGAACTAAGGCACCTTCTGTGTCGCATATGGACTGTTGATTCGAAAACCAATTTGCTCTGTAAACTTTCACCCAAATCAAAATAAATAGTTTAAGAAGATGAAAACCCCGTGTGTTGTTTATGCCTGCAGCATATCTCCCCCTGTGTCAGGTGCTCAGTAGGCACAGGTGGTACGTGACTGCTGTACTCGGCAGCATGCACCCTACTCGAGAGCTAATCAGTCTGAAACACTGTTCTAGACCAGAGTACTTCAGGGTCAGAAGGACCGAGTTGTCTCTGAGTGTGGTCAAGGTTGTGGACAGTGCGTGGGGATTGCCCAATAACACCTGAAAAGTGCTTAGAACAGTGGCTGGTCCACAGTCCATAATACACTCTCAATGGGAGATAAAATTGTAATTGTGATTCTGGAGTCTGTCTGATCTTGATTATCTCCCCTGAGGACCATGTTCGGCCAACTGGGTCCAGAGCCAGCTTCGCCTACTCCACCTGGGAGGATTTTTACAGGACTTGCAATGCCCTAAACATCCCACACGCAGAAACAAGCCGGCCAGTAATACACCGCCTCTGTTTGCTTGCTTCCCCCCCCCCATCCCTATTTGAATGAGGTGACATTCAGATAGCAGAAATGTAAACATTTTCAGGTATATGATTTAGTGGTATTAGAGCACTGACAATGTTGTGTAAATAAATAGCACTTCCCGTCCTAGAACATTCTCGTCATTCCAGCTCGGTGTCTCCCAGCTTTCCCTTGTGTCCAGCCCCTGACTTTCTGCCTCCGTAGATTGCCCTGTTTTGGATGTGACTTCTATGTGGTATAACATTCTGGGGGTCCATCCATGTTATAACATATGTCAGTATTTCATACCTGTTTTCTTTTTTATTGCTGGTGTAACATAACACAATTTGCCATCTTCAACATTTTTTATTTTTAAGTATGCAATTCTGTAACATTAATTATATTCACCGCTGTCTACGAGGGGGGAGGGGGGTCTTCAAAAATTTGTGGAAAATGTTATGGAAAGATAATGGGATTTTCCATGAACTTTTTAAAGCCCCTTCTTATTTCCAGCATTGCTTTTTAAAAATCACTCCATAGAATCTCAGTACACCTATACCTGAATGTCTTAGAAGCTCCTCATTCCGTCCTCCCCGAAGCCTTTGATAACTATGAATAAACTTTGCATTTGTGTATTATAGTGATTTCACATAAGTGGATTCATACAGTGTTTGTCCTTTTGTGCCTGGTGTATTTCACTCCTCACTGTTTTTCAAGTTCGTTCATGCTGTAACATGTGTCAGGAGCTCATTTCTGCTTATGGCTGAGTCGTGTGCCCATTCCCTCATATATGTACACGTGGATCGTTGCTATCTTTTGTCTTTTGTAAATGGTACACAGTGAACATTGATGTGCAACTTCATTCCTTTTTGTGGAATTTTATTTGGCCATAGAAAGGAATATCGTACCGACAGCCCTGAGACCAGAAGAGCTAGATGGTGCCCAGCTACCACTGCGGACCTTTCTGAAAGGGATCACAACAGGAGGGTCTCGATAGATTGGGAGAAAAATGTGGGAAAAAACTCAAAATCCTAAAGACCAGGCTTACTGGTTAGATGGAGATGTGGTGTGGCTCTGTAGGATGAGCTCTGGACCGGTAACCACAAGGCGCATGATTCACACACACCAGCTGCTCCTCGGAAACTCTGTACAGGGTCACTATGAGTCAGAACCGTCTCGACAGCACTTAACAATAACTGGTCAGATGGAGACTAGTAGAACTCCCAAGGCAAAGGTCAAGGTCCTTAGTCACCCTTCAGGCCTGGCACCAAACTCACTTCTGTGGCTCCACTTTCACTGAAACAATTTTTCACTGCCCTGGAGTCAGTTCTGACTCATAATGACACATCGGATAGGGTTTCCGAGACTGTAAACCTTGACAAGGGCAGAAAGCCTCATCTTTCTCCCATGGAGCAGCTGGCGGGTTTGGACTGCCAACTCTGAGGTTTAGCAGTCCATCGCTTACTCTATAGCACCACACCGGGACTCTGTCAAAGAGTCGGCAGTTTTATAACATTGAATATTAACACTGGGGAGGTTTGCACTCCTTAAAATAACCAACTGTTTGAGATCAGAAGGGCAGCATTTGTTTAGGGATAAATCACAGAGGCAGGCAAGGTTAGAAAAGGAGGATGAATGGAAACAGGTAACGTTGGAAGTAGGAAGATTGGTATTACATTGTGGGTATTGCAATCCATGTCACAAAACAAAATGTTGTGTCTGCACTGTTGAATTGAAAACCAATTTACTCTGTAGAAGTTCACCCACATCGCAATGAAAAGTTAAAAAGAAAAGGAAGGAAGTAGTAACACATTTTTTTTTTTCTCTTTCATTTTTTATTGCCCATCTCCTCCAACTAGAATGTAAACTCCATGGGGACATTGACATTTTTTTGCTCATTACTCAATCTTCAATACAGAGAACAATGCTGGCATCTGATTGGTGCTCAGTAACTATTCATTGAATGATCGAATGAAAGGATGAATGGAGTGTTACTTACTGTTCTTCTCGCTCTTCCATAAACTTAGGATAATGTTCATTTCATGGAATCTTTACAAAAATTAAATGCAACACTTGTACATAACACAGAGTAGTAAATATTAAGTGCTAGATGCTACAAAACAATGTTGATTTCAGGTAATTCTCTCAGATGCTCTGATTTGTATTAGAAAAGGCAAAGCATATACTGCTTGAGTAGAAAAGAAATAGCTCAAGACTCCTCACTAGAAAATATACCTGTAGTATTTCTAGAGAACTACAATTTAGCATGAAGAGATCATATGGGGGTATGGGGGTTTTGTTCAAAAAGTTCATGAAAGATGAAATTAAAAGAATGGCATTTTAAATAAAATGACATATTGCATTAAGCATATCTGTTGTACAAGACTTCTCTAAAGATACCTGTTTGAGGATGAAGGTGCACCTCACACAAGCCATGATATTTTCAGTTGCTTCATATGCATGTGAATGTTGGACAGTGAATAAAGAAGACCCTAGAAAAATTGGAAAAAAAGAATGGCATTTTCCCATGAACTTGTTGAAGCCCCCTCATATATACCATACCATGGTAAGATCGGTGCAGGCTGTCTTCCTTCACTTTCCCTTGATCTTCAGAGTGACACTCTGGGACTTTCCTTACGACGCTATAATCGAGCTTACAACACCTTTCACAAAGTACCTAACACAATCTGTGTGATGTAATGTTTTAAACATTGGGCTTTACTGGTTATTATACCAGACTCATTGTCGATAAAGCCACATCCTCACTCTGGGGAAAAAGCAAAGTTAAAGCCTACGTGTCTCTAGGCAGTGTATCTTTATCTCCTATCCATTTCCCTATAATTAATTATGTTTTTATGAAAGTCTTCTCAATACTGAATAAGTTTTGTCCAGATACTTTTCTAGAAACTGACTACAGGTGACATACATTTTAATGTAACGGAAGCTTCAGACAGGCCAGTCTTTCCCGCAGGGAGTGAACAAATCAGACCCCCACCCCGAGTAACCCACCCATTTCTCTTTCCCACCTGCAGTTTCGAACCTGTCACAATACTTCAGCCCAGCCTCTGTGGCCAACAGCCCTGCCCGTGCCATCCTGCTGGTCGGCGTCATCCTCCTGACCTACTGGTTCCTGTCCCTGACCCTGAGCGTTACCTTCCACGTCCTACACATGGTGTTCGGCCGCTTCATCTGGGTCGTGCGGGTGGTCCTCTTCTCCATGTCGTGCGTGTATGTCCTCCACAAGTACGAGGGCCAGCCTGAGAACGCGGTGCTGCCGCTGTGCTTCGTGGTGGCTGTGTACTTCATGACTGGACCCATGGGCTCTTACTGGTATAGCAGCCCCGGCGGCCCAACCGTGGAGGAGAAGCTGGATCATCTGGAAAACCAGATCAGGGTACTCAATGTTCAGCTCAGCAGGGTGCTGGATAACCTCGACCGTTCCAGTGACAAATGACGGTTCCCCGGCGGCCCACCAGGCCCCCCGTCACCAGCGTGCACGCTCGGAAAAAGACCAAGAAGAAAGAAAGGGAGAAGGGACCCCAAACAATCTCAATAAACATGAACGAGCAAGAAAGTGGGCACTTGGTGAATTTGTTCCTGCCCATGTATCCACTCCTGGGATGAGTCCCACGAGACGTTCATGGACCCTCCCAGGTCAAACTGTGTGCCGAGTGTCATTTACTGGGGAAGATATTTTTTAAGCAGAGGATATAAATAATATTATATTATTTATACATGTTATATTATGTATAAATAATGTAATACCTATATTAGTACATATTAGCTGTACAGTAAGAAGTGTATCTGTGCATAGCATATAAAGTTAGTTTTTTCAAGCATTTAAATACATCTTTTGTAAGGTTTTTTAATAAAGGCAGATGGAGTCATGTTTATTAAAACTTTAAATCAAGGGCAAAGATTTGTGGACAGGACGTTTTGGGGAGAGTATAAACCCCAGCATTTGTGTTTTTTCACAGCTGAGGAATGACTGGGTGAAATCGGTGTGTGCTCTTTTTTGTTTTGCAGAATTCTAAGCTGGATTTAGTTTCATTTGGGTTTGTGCTGATTTACTACTAAATAGATGTAGTCGCTCCTAATTGCAGGTCGTCAAACCCCAGGTTGAAATGAAACTTTGAAGCAATAGCTTCATCAGAGTTATAATTCCAAGTGAAGATACTCTGTATAGAAAATCTGAGTTCACCCTGTACCTCTAGTGGACTGTACGGAGACATGGTGGTGCTGTGGGTTAAGCACTGGACTGCTAACCAAAAGGTCGGCAGTTCAAACCCACCAGGCCACCCCATGGGAGAAAGACGAGGTTGTCTGCTCCTGTAAAGATTTACAGTCTTGCAAACTCTGTGTAGTGTCTCTATGAGTCAGAATGGACTCCACGGCAGTGGATTTTGGTAACCTCAACGCTTTGTAACAGGAAAATGCCCTGGCACAGAAATGTCTTGAGATTTATGACAAGATCCCCCTACGCTCTCTCAAGAATTGATTTGATTTTCCTAGTCACTAATTGAGTCAGCTAAGCCTAGAAGCACTAGACTGCTAACAGCAAGGTCGGCGGTTCAAAACCACCACCTGCTTCTCGAAAACTCTATACGAGGTCACTGTGAGTCAAAACCAATTCCACGGCACTTCACAACAACAACAGCCAATGTGGGGAAAAAAAACCCATCCGGAGTTTTTGTTTATTTCTTACTTATTCCAGTTTGACTTAACTCAGGATCCGAAGGAAAATAACCTGGGGCAGCTAAGCACAGCACAGTGTGGGTCTTTTATTGCTTATAAGGCACACTTAGGAACAAGAAGAACTAAACAAGCCCTCCAAAACATCTGCACTTTGTTTTCTGTTGCCCCTGACATTTTTTACAAAAGGTGCTTTTGGTCTGAAGCCTGCTGCGTCTTCCTGGCAGGTGAATGGACTCTGGTCCCTGCCAGGCGGGCAGCTGTGGGGTGTCCAGGGTGACAGCAGTCTCTCTCTGGTCCTTTTATGTTTACCTGGAGTCCCCTTGTGGAGCCCCTGCTCATGTGTTTGCAGAGACCGCTTTCAGGTTCTGTAGAACCAGGACCTTCTGGTCCAAGTGCTGCTTTGGAGAAAGTTTGATGTCTACCATGGAAACTTCTCTTTCCTTCAGGTACACAAAATGTGATCCAAACTCTTCTTCATTTTGGCTCCCTTCTGGAAACACTTAATGTGTTTGCTCACGCAAATCTTTATCTGTGGGCATTTGGAACACGTGGTGTCTAGATGGGAACCGGTCCAAGCTTGCCATTTAGTTGCTTAGAGAGTCACCCTACTTCAGTACTTGGCATAAATAATATAGTGTTGGGTGGGGAGTAGTCATCGTTGCTCCCCCTTTTTAAATTAAAAAAAAAGAATTTTTTTTGTTTTTTTTTTTTGCCCTCTTTGTTTCACATCATATTTAAAGCAGAACCAGTTGCTGTAGAGTTTTTTCTGACTCCAGGTGACATTGTGGGTGTCAGAGTAGAATGGTGCTCCCTGAGGGTTTCCTGTGGCCTTTTTTTGGGGGGGTGTAATTTGCCAGGCCTTTCTTCAGCATGCCTCTGGGCAGACTTTCCGGTGTGCTGAGAACATTTACCATGTGCATCACCCAGGGACAGCGTACTATGTGGATAGGTGCCATCAAGTTGATTCTAACTGATGACTAACCTGTGCCACAGAGTAGAATGGCCCCATGGGGTTTTCTGACCATCATCTTGACGGGACCAGACTGCTTAGGTCAGCTGTAGGGAGAGTGGTATTCTCTGCACACAGCCACTGGGTCCAGTTTCTCCTCCCCCACCTGTTTATATTATGTCTTAAACTGTCACTGGACTAGGTCTAATCCGCACTGAATTCCTCCTCCCAGTCCCAAACACGATACCCACAGGGCCCTGAGTAACACTGAGAACTACACGGGAAGTCATTTAATGTCCAGTGAATCTGGGGGAAGCCCGTGCAGCTAAGTGCTGATGCACAGGGAAACCAAATCCGCAAGCACCTGCTAGATTTTTCTGTCGGGCATATGCCTTGTGTTCCAGATTACATAAGTGCCGGTGCCAAGACCAATTCTGTAGTCTGAGGCATTCCAATACAAAGATGTGTTAATTTTTCATGAACAAATGTTCAGTTCAGTGGCAGTATCCCATCAGGAGAGACGATGATTTGAAACTTCTGATAGAAATCCAACCTACGAGATCTGAGAGCTTTGTTTTTAATACATACACCTGACTTTTGTTTTGAGCTATTCTTGACACCAAATAGTTGGTTTTGTTGTGTTTTCCCTTCTATATTCCAATGGCAATTTGTAAAATTTTGAATTTTCCTTTTCCTCTTTTTTTCTCTTTTATACATGGAAAACTTGTGTTTTTGTATTGTATCACACACCTTGGAGAGAAATCTCTTATAGCTTCAGGACTGGAGAATAGATAAAAGGGGACTTTAGAAAGTTCATGGAAGAAAATGACATTGAAAGATAACGGAACTTTTCCACGAATGTTTTGAAGCCCCCTTATACTAGTGGACAGTTTGTTAAACTGTAAAGTAAAAACATGGTGAGAACTATTGTAGGTCTATAAAATGTCAGCCTAACATCAATCAGTGTTAACTTCCGAACGAATGTTCTCTCTACAAAGAATGCATAAGAATCATTTAGGAGAAGGACCAGCTGCTTATAGGCGGCTGAGTTTATGTAGCTGTTTCAAGTTTGATGCTTGGTTTTCTTCCTTGACCATGCTAGCAAAGTGGCCACACATTTCCTTGAAGCACAAACCTTTCTTAAAATAGCTTCACAATGCACATCAGCATGAACTGCCTTCTGGGTTGGTTTTTTGCCCTTCTGCATTCCATTCCCACACTGCTAAACAGCCTCTTGACAGACAATTGAATGGCACCTGCTTTACAGGTTGACACCTCATCTTTTCTCTCAGGAGAGTTTTGAATTGGCTGGCTGAACTAAATAAAATCCAGCTCTCACTGTGCAAGCCAGTTGCCACTGAGTTGACTTTGACTCATTGGCCGTTCCGCTTGCTGGGGGCACTTCAGAAAGTTCATAAGGAAATTTCGTTTGAACTTTTTGAGGCCCCCTTGAGTGTGTTGGTTGAACTGTGCTCCATAAGTTTGACCTTTCAGAAACAGGCCGCCAGGCCTCTCTTCTGAGGCACATCTGATTGGATTTGAACCATCAACCTTTCAGTTAGTAGCTGAGTGCTTAGTTGTTGTGCTGCCTGGGGACTAAACTTTCTTCATCTAGTTAGTGTAAAAGGAATTCCTGGGGTTCCCACGGTGTCAACCTCCCCAACTCGGTATACTTAAAAAAAAAAAAAAAAAATCACCATTCTGCAAAGTTGCTCTGTGTAGCCACTTTGAGTAGCTGGACTTTTGCTCTTCACTTGTGAATAATAGAATTGTATCTTTCTCTGCAAGATGTAGTGCTGTACTCCTAAATTAGTGCTGGCCAACCGTCGGTACAATGCATTGTATCTGGTATAAACCAGCTTTATTCAGCATATTGAATTCTGTGTTTCGTTCTTCAATGATTCCAGTACTAGTTTTCACTTTGTGATGGCATTAAAAACTAAGTAAATAAGACTGAGTCGCATTTGTACCGTCTACTGGAAACTTGTGGCAGCTAATATCATTATTGACTTTACGTACATTCAAATGTCTTCTTGCAGCCCTACAGGTTTGTACTGTTGCGTCAATATCCGCACGTCTGTTAAATGTCTGAGTACCGTGTCATTAAACTGAGTCTTTGTGTTGGCAATTACAGCACCCTTAAAATCCAGCAAAGCAATGATTTCCTCCCTAACTGGAAATTTGTGTTAGTTAGTTATGGTACCCGTTTCCACTATATTTGTGATTCCATTCGTACTTGGTGTATCTGGTGATCAACTGTATATACCATTTAAATTGATACTTAATGCAAATCAACTTGATTTGAATATGCTGTTGGATGTGTGTGTGTGTGTGCGTACCTAAAATTTATAAGCTTTGGGAAAGTGATTCTACAATACCATGTAATAGACACATGTATGTATAAGCCATCTCTTTTATTGGCAGAGCGGTAATAGACACTCCTTTTATTTTTTAAATCAATGGCTTTGATGTTATCTAGAGAGATTTGTAGACTGATTTCAGAGCAGAATTAAAGTATTGTGAAAATTAAAGCTTAATAAATGTTTTTTGTAATTTTGTTGTATGGCTTTCCTAAATACACATTTCATCACTTCTGGCCAACTCACTGAGGAGCTTTCCCAATTTTGATGTGCAATAGGGATTCTACCCACCAATCTGGGAATTCATGAGATGAACTGCAGGTAGGCTGGGCCAGATGAAAAACAGTCCACTGGGTTAAATTTGAATTTCATTTTTTAAATGGAAGTATGTCCTGTGCAAAATCTGGGACATAAGTTGTTCGGGGCTGCTGAGTTTGTTCCGACTCATAC